AGTTTGAAGGGGAGAAAAGAAAATGGTTACAGAAAAGAAACATTTTTCGTTTCGATAAAGTGTTTTATAAAGCTGTACACTCGTTGGAACACATAAAATAGTGTAAAATATTCCAGAAGTACTTCCGGTCACGGGTCAGAAAACAGTGAATAGTAAAGAGAAATTACATCTTTCTATATTTGAGATTACATAAAGAAGAGTATGTTCTCAATGATAGCCATTTATTTTTGGTAAGTAATTAATCGTAGGCGTACATGGTATCGCTTCTACTGTTCTAATGTGAAGCGAATTTGTGTGCAAAAGTTGTTGGTAAAGGTTGCTAATGTCAACATTATCCAATTATAAACTCTTTAGAATAAGGTTTAAAATGTTTAATCTGTGGATGTGTATTACTGATGAGTAGTAAGCGAAATATGCAGGATAAATTTAGATAAGGAAAGAAGCCTTTTGAGGAATTCAGAAAAACAGTAATTCTTCAAGTTGGTATTCATCATAGGCTGACATAAGTTGGGGTATTATTGAAAACTTGGTAATACTGGATAGCTGTTTCATCCTAGCATGGGACTCTTCAGTAGTGCGGATCCATGACCGTCAGGGATCAAACCTAGGCCTTCAGGTTCCGTGACCAGGACGTCCTATCCTTGGCAGAATCATGCGTGCGCAATACTGAGGAGTCCCAAACTGGGATGAAACATCTGTCCAGTGCACTCAGGTTTCCAATGTTCCTCCAAATGATGTCAGTCCATGATGAATACCAGCTTGAAAAGTCACTAAATCTCCATAAAGCCCTAAATTCAGAAACGTAATTCAGTGAAGAAAATTTTTTTTCTAAACAAATTATTTTCAGTAGCTGTTCAAACGTATTTGTAGTAATAACAAACAAATAGATAAGTCCATTATTGGCTAGTAGCTCAACGCTAGGTTATCATAACGAAATATTCTTGAGTGAAATAGTAGGCCGATTGTAGATTTAGAAAGGGATTGTGTAATTAAGTGTATGGGAGGGAAATAGGCAGTAGAAAATAACGTGATGACCAATAGGGGAAAAATATAAACGGGTCAAAAATAATACTATTATATATAATCAGTAATTTTAATGGGAGGTTGATACTAACATGTTAAGATATGGGAAAGTAAACCAGAAAGAAAAAATAAGTAACAAGTAGTCATAATCAGGGAGTAAGAGTAAAATGAATATTGAAGCATTAAACAAACTCATGAACGAATTATGACCACAGCAAAATACGAGAATGAACCTACCTCTTCTGTAAGTAGACCTCTGACTTTAATTGTCGGATAACCAATGCCTCTGTTTCACATAAGTAACGAATCCATACTCCTTTCCAGTCCTTTGTCTTAACTTTGAATAGGATGAACTTATTTGACAATCTTTATGCAAATACATATGTTATTGAATCTTAAAATGACTAGTGGTATCGCAACATAAGCACCGTTGACTTTAGAGCTACTGATGATATATAAGATGTACAACTAACCTGGAAATTAAAAATAAATTTATTTGAGATAAAAATTGAAATGAAGTACAACATGATTTATGGTGTGATATAAAGTGAAACATATTGGATGCTTCAAAACCGTCATAAAGATACAAATTTCGCAATGTTTTTATCGAGTGACAATCACATTCTCTTTTCAATTTAATATATATTTCTACTTTGGTTTACTTCATTGATGTCTTCAGTTGATCTGGATAATTTTCGATAAATGTTACTCTCAATGCAGAGTGAGTTGGGTGTTCAGTCGATTTCTGAAACAACCAATAAATTTCAGCGATGCACACTTGTCTGAATCCATTCATGAAGTAATAGTAAAATGTACGAAATTACGACTAACGCATTTTCCAAATGAAAAAAAAACATTGCAGTTAAATCTTTAACCTTCGGTTTGGTTTGACAGACATCATGGAAATAAGGGAAAAGAGATTTTCATGACAGGGATTAAGAGCTTCAGTAATCTTCCGTTTCTTTTCAGCTGAAACCACCTATGGTACTAGACCTCAGTTATGATGCATGGAGAATCATTGATTGATGAGCTCGCTGTCAAGAAACAGGGTTACGAAACCAAATACGTAACTTATAGGTCTCACTTGAGCTTGCTGGGCAATTATATTTATGAGGGATTATTACTTTCATCCTGATTTAACTCACTATAACTATCTAGGAGAGTGTAAGTGTTTCAAAGGAGGTTTTTAAACTAAGACTTATGTCAAACCATAAGGTAATGAATAAGATGAATTGTCTACCGTGAAATCCACTGCTAGCCAAAATATTGTAGACCAAAATATTAGTGGCATTTAGAATTGGATATAAGAAGCAAATAGATTGATGAATTAGGCAATAAAAATAACCCATGATGATTGGTCTCAGTTGACATCGACAAGAAACAATGAGATTAGTTGTTGATTTTCAAAGACCCAGCGTTCCGGAAAACTATATTTATATCCACTTATGTCAAAAATGAGCTAGAAATGTTACAGAAACCCTAAAAGTAGTCTTCATTAGTCATTCATTGTTTCCAAACAACCGGAAAGAAATGGTCTCACCTGTGACTTCTTTCTTGATTGTATACAATCGCATCTACTCCGGTGAAGCAAAGTGTATTAGTTGTTCAAAAAGGATTAAAAAACATTGCCCTGTATGCTTATGAGAAAGAGTTAGCGATTCTATAGTGTGCAAAACTGGAACGTTTTGTTGATGCCTACCACGAGTTTTGGATTAATTTCTGTCTCCACAGTATATAGAAAGCGAAGAGAAATCTACCAATGACTGCATGTGCTACCCTACTTTGCATTACTAAAGCTTTGGCCGTTTATATAAGAAATCTACAGCTTTCTATGAAAAAAGCCAATCGTTCAGTCACTCCTTTTGTATGACCGTAATGCTTAGCATTTTAAATCACTCCTTTTAATCCTTCCTTTCTGTTCTCTTTTTACGCAATATCAACGCTTATTTATTTTTACGTTCTTTTGATATTATTTACTCTTCGAATATTTTGATAAACAGTCAATTTATTCAACTTCCATTAAACTATGATTGATGTTCATTATTCTCATCTACTTTTATTACCTTTAACCAATAATAACTTATCCTGTTTGATACCATGTTTTATAAGTAAAGCAACACCAACGTCAAGTCAGTGCTTCTGTATGGTTCAGAGACTTGGCGCGTTACGAAAGGGATTTCCAATAAACTACAGATATTCATCAACAACTGCTTACGCTGGCTCGTTACTGAAGATCAGATGGCCAGAACAATAAGGAGCTCTGGGAACGAACCAACGGAGAACCTATCACCCAACAAATATGCGGTGGAAGTAAGTGTATATGGATTGGGCATACACTGAGAAGGCCGACTGGGGACATCACACATCAGACCAGTTGCTCGAGTGGAACCCCGATGGGAAGCGAAGAGTTGGGTGTTTCAGCTGAGGGTGACATGGAGGAGATGGTGCGAGGAGGAAATGAGAGCTTGTGGGCAGTTGTGGAACCAGGTTCAAAAGATTTTGGCGAACAGAGTTCACTGGAGACGTGCTACTGAAGCCGTATGTTCCATTAGGAACCCAAGGGACTAGTAATAATAACAATAATAATAATAAAGCAAATTACTGTAAAATATTAAATATCTTTACTCAAAAAATTATTCATCATTGTGATTGGACAGCTTTGAGAATAAAATCACAGAAAAGAGTCTCTTCTCTGTACTACTCTATTTTCTTCTGATAAGAAATGTGTTTACATGAATAGCATTTCCTCAGGTCATTCATAAATGTTCAGAAGATGAATTCTGAATTCCGTTTCAACTAGTCCTTTGTTTAAATGAGAATGAACCCATTTAACCATGCTATAAAGTGTCATACACATTTATTTTATCATTTTGACTATCTGAGACTGCCGTGTTTTGGCAGACTAGTATTGATACTGGGTGGTGATTGAAGGTAAGGTGAAGAGTCTAACCATGGCCGGATTCGAACCAGCGACCAACAGGTTTCGGGCCCGATGCTCTACTATCTGAGATACTAGGTCCAACTGCTGATCAAATTTTTATTTCACTTCAATCACTATGGTTTTTTCCCGACTACCAGTGTGAGTTTTTGACGCGTTGCGACCGCTTGATCTTATTCACACTGGCTGCCGAGTCAGGACTTCTCATCCCAATCCAAATGTGACTGAATTAGAGAGGGGGAACATTAGATTGATTGTCATTTTGACTACCTGAGATAGCCACTGTTTAGCCGACTAATATTAATAGTGCGCGATAATTGAAGGCGGGATGAAAATTTGAAGTAGGGCCGAATTCAAACCAGTGACCACCGGCTGCGGTCCAGATTTTCATTTTACCTTCAATTATCACCCAGTAGACATATTTATTTATTTAGTTGAGAACATTTCACTGATGGATCAATCGATTTTCCACAAAAAAACCTAATGAATGCAAAATATGAACAAAAATGTAGGAAGAGTGAATGAGAACAAAGGAGTGGAACAGGCCTGAAGGGCGTAACCTGCAGTAGAACCGATCAAAAGACAATGCATAAACCAAAGGATAAAATAGCATCCCTATGCTGTAATTTGAAAAGCCTTAAAATAATGAAATCACTATTCATTTCAGAAACTAATCACGTCAAACTTTTATTAAACTTACTATTTGTCATTTGTTTCATATTCGATTCAAAACTTCTCCAATGTATGAAATCGAATAAGATATACGAACATGCAAATGAAGTATTACTATACCCATTAGTAAGACAGACTGTAAGTTATCATCACGTTGACTGACCAATCGAATTTCATTTGCTCACTTTTTATTGGTCAGTCAAAGGCAAAAATATATTTCTCTACTTATGCTTTGACTCAGTATAACTTCACAGACAATTTTGAACAAATAAAATTTGTTACTAATTTACCACAAACACAGTTTATATACTTGAAAAAAAAAGAAGAAAAACAAATAAACAAGCAGATTGACTTATACGTAGTTGCTATGGCTTATAGACGTTTAAGTATGAGTCCAGGAGAAGCCTTACAAACTGAAATTCCAGAAGCAAGACGTATGGAAAACTATCGGTCTGGCAATTGCTTACTGAGTTTTTTTGATCCTAAGACAAAAAAGTTTCGTAATTTTACTGCTTCTCAATTCGGTGATGTATGGAATTACTTTGATCAAGATGGTAGGTTTATTGTCATTGATGAAATTTTGAGTACATTTGACAAGCTGATTTGTTTCTCAATGATAATATTAATGAATTCCATGAACTGCAACCACATTCATCACTGAGTTTTTAGTTGATATGTTGAACATTGATTAGTATGTTGTATTTGATTCTAGAAGAAAACTGGAATATAAAACCCGTTGAAGATCTCAGAACTAGACACTAAATACTTGCAGGATTTTGTAGTGCTCAGGCAGTTAACTTTTTTGATGCCATAAAGAAGACTTGTGTAAAACTGACAGGTTCCCTTGAATCATCAGTGTAAGGCTTATTTTCTTAGCAGCTATTTTGACCTATAATTTATGACTCAACAAGCTAAAGTGAACAGCAAACTCAAAATAACCTTAATTTACCACTTCAACAATGAAGTGACAAGTATTTGTATGTAAATTGAGTCAGCTATAGATGAAGAACAGCTATAGTAAAAAATCCCTTATGTTATTCAATACGATTTCGTCTACAGGTCTGAATAATAAGAAAATGGGGTCTTTTATGGAGTAGTCGTCTCATAGAGTTTAAAAATGTACCATTTCGACTAGTTCCGTAAGCATAAGTAAGTCGTTACATGAAATAAATCAAATGAAAGCAAAGAAGTATTTCCTTTCAACGACTTTGCTATCAAACTCTCCAGTCCTATTAATAGTATATAAATTTTGAAAAACATTAAATGAAATTGACAAACTAACCAAAGTCAAGTGAGAGAATGGGGTTTCACAAAATGCTTTTGAATGGGTAGTTTTAGATTTTGGTTATCATTAGCTTCTGGTTGAGCTATGGATAAGTGGCGGAAACTTGGATCTTTGTAGCAGTTTAGTTAAACCTAGTAAATTGCTTTAACAAATGACTCTTGAGGAGGTGAATGAATCATTATTATTTGTTCATATGTGGATGAACTTGATATTCTTCGCTCACCTTTAGCCAACCAAACCCAATAGTGCTGTGCAACACATTTCTAGAGGGTCTGCTTAAAAAGTCCACATAAATGTGGACATAAGGGACATTGTCGAACCAGACGACAACTCGAGAATATCAACCATAGGCAAGCAGATTAGAAAGAAGTATTGATAAACGTCGACATCTGGAATGCCCTCAAACTCTTTTACCACCTGGCATTCATATACATACATGAAGTTAGAAAAAGTAGATCTGAAATAGCCTTTTCGAAGAAGGTAAATTCGACAAACTACTTTCCAGTACAGTGACTTCATATATGAAATAAGTATGCCTATCAGTAGTTGTCACATATCATGAGTATGAAGAGATTTGAATAATATGACAATAAAAGGTTCAGAACCACTTTGACTGGTTTTTTAAATACATCCCGTAACTATCTCTACTTCTGGCTTTCTTTATCCACTACCATGAAATAGCGTAATGCATTTTGTTGCTTGGAGTTTTGAAACCATAAGCTGATCATGCAGTTTATAGGTTCATACTCTTACTGCAATTATTTTCGTTATTATCTTTTGTTTCAACCTGAAGATGTCCATCATTATTCGCATAATTCGCCTTAAACACTGTTCATGAATTTGAAGTATTACAAAATCGGTATCAGCTAAAAAACAATATTCTAGATTTCTGTCGTGTTGGTTCTAATAACTCAAAGACTAGTACTTCAGTATATTAACAGTTCGACTGGTTAACCTTCTCACTGACTGAATATTAATTCCATTTCAAGTATGAAGTGTTTTACTGTGATGGATATGATGGTTTTTGAAGTCTAGTAAAGCACGGTCCATTGCTCTTGGAGAAGTTGTAGAATTACTTCATGTAATAATGAACCGAAGACTTTTGAAAATATGACGGTAGAAAATGATGTGAGAAGAAATAACTTTTAAACAATATCTTAGCCATAATCACTTATTATTTTATGTACAACATGCAATCGTAGCTGATAATCAACTATATTTACTAATATGTCACTTTCTCTTTAACTTTAATGCTCTGCGTACAAATCGATTTCACCTCTTCTATAAGATTGTTCAAATTAGTCATATGACTATTTTGAAGCTAATACTGTTTGTGACTGGACATGAATGTAAAAGTCTAAATTAATCAAAATGTTTTACAGTATTGTATTTCTTTCAGGTTAAAATATTTTCTAGTTGACTGGAATTCAGTCATTTTGACTACAAGGTTCAGTATTGAGTATACTGTAAAAGATTCATAACTTCTTTGTTATGTCTTTACATCCCCACTATGATTTTCTTGACCTGACTAGTGTAAGTGATGTTACTTTGATCACGGTTTACTGTTTGGTAGTACGATTAACGAACTGTAAGATGTACTAGAACGATAGTTCTATACACTGCTACTGTGCCGAGTTGCTGTGCCCAAATTAGTCCTACTACATATTACTGAAGAAACAAGTGTACTGTATTAACTCCACGTTTGTCAACAAAAACTCACTTTAGATGTACTAAGCAACAGTTACACAGGTGATCTAATCAGAATTTCAACGAGTGAAGACAAAAGGTACTGATGTTGAGGTCACTTACTACTGATTGGTTTTCTATCTTATTCTCCTTGTGTAGAAAAATAACAACAGTCATGTTAATCAGGAATCAGTTTAGTGAAAATATCTTATTTCCAAAAGTTATATTTTCACCACGTTCGCACTATAGAATTACAAAAAAACGTTGTTTCCATAATAAAAGTTTTAAGAAGCAAGTATAGTTTATTCTCAATTATAACATAAACTTTGAGATCATATTAAACTTTCAGGAGCTCCAGAGTCTCAATATATCAAAGAAACCTCAGTTAGAGTCTTGTGAAGAACCAAAAAAACTCAAACTACTCTTCATCGTGAACCGTCTTTAGCTGGAGAACCACCAAAGATCAGGATGCACTGAAAAGTAGTTCCGTCATAGTTTGATTCTTCTAAACACTAGGTAATCATAAATGCCTGAAAGATCAAGCCTATAACTGTTTGGACAGATATCCTCCTCAAGGCAAATATACTTGAACTTCCAGGAGCCTAATCAACATGAGAATCCCATTCTATACATTTACCGCTACCACACAAACCATGTTTAACAATAAGATAATATATGAAGTCACAAGGAGACTTTATTGAACTGGTTATTCAGAAGCAACCTGTTTATATGTAACCTCAATCCATAATTATCTGTTACTCGAACTCTTAGTATCCACAAAACTTGAAGTAGCTTTATTACATATCGGTGACTGACAGGCAGTTCCAGAGAAAAATAATTTTGTTTATTTATCACCGAAAATGTTTATTTCTTATAACTAGTTGAACTGAAATAAAAGCCTCGTTAACTGATAGAGACGGTTAGGAAAGGCATGTGAACTGGGATCTTTTTAAGCTACAGAAGTTTATGCATACGTCTTATTTCTAATTTTTGCATTATTCATACTTGCCAGACTACTGAGTATCTCTAGAGTAAGACGAAATACCCATCCAGCTTTACTACTCACCATACAACTGTTATGAGATATATCTTTGACACTCTACTCAAGTATTTAACCCAACTAACAGAAAGGAATAAAGTATAGTATTGTCCATTAACTGGTTATTTCATGACAGCAAAACCAGAGGAATTATTTCAGATGGTTTATGTGATATCTTACTAGGCAAAAAAGAAATTGATTTATTGAGATACTTAAAGTTTACTAAATGCAAATTTGGTAATAGATGAATTCTTAGTAGCTTCATATCTTCATCCTCAAACAAGTAAACAACACTATGTACAGTGTAACAACACCTAAAGACTTACTTATTACGATACCATATAAGATAAATTAATATCATGCAGTTATATACCTTAATAAATTTGTATAAAATAAAAATAAAAAAATTTGCAGAGAAAATTACTTCATTTTATTTCATCAATTCTCCTCAGCTGCATACAGTGCAAAAGTGTAATGCTCATTCAGGCATTAGATATTTCTAATTCAAAAAATCAATAATCTTAAGTCGTACAACAAAATCATTGATAATCCATATAATATGTGTAAGAGAATCAGTCAAATTCCAATCAACATCAACGGGAGAAACTTAAAGGAAGTGACCTCCTTCACCTATCTAGGCAGCACTGTTTCAACTACAGGCGACACGGGCACAGACGAGGATGTCAAAGTCAGCATCGGAATCGGAAAAGTAAGACAGGCGTTCATTAGCCTGAAACCAGTGTGGAGATCTTCTGCACTGCACTCAGCATGTTGAACAAGATCCGGATTTTCAACACTAAGTCAGTGAAAGAAGTCAGTGCTTCTATTAGATGGTTGAGAGACTTGGCGCGTTACGAAAGGGATTTCCAATAAACCACAGATATTCATCAACAACTGCATACACTGGCTCGTTACTGAAGATCAGATGGATTGCCAGAAAGAATAAGCAACAAAGAGCCCTGAGAAAGAACCAACGGAGAACCTATCACCTAACAAATATGCGGTGGAAGGAAGTGTAGATGGATTGGGCATACACTGAGAAGGCCGACTGGGGACATCACACATCAGGCCAGTTGCTTGAGTGGAAGCCAGATGGGAAACGACGAGTTGGACATCGGTGCCGAGGGTGACATGGAGGAGATGGTGTGAGAAGGAAATGAGAGCTTGTGGGCTGTCGTGGAGCCAGGTTTTTGAAGATTGCAGAGAGGAGAGTGGAATGGAGACGTGTTACTGAAGCCGTATGTTCCATTAGGAACCCAAGGGACAAATAATAATAATATAGTAAAGAGGTAAGAAAGGTAAGCAAAGAAAGTAATAAAATAGAGTCATGTAATTAGAATGAAGATGGAAATGAAAAAGGATCTAGTCATTTTCATCAAGGGAGTTTGAGGATAATCACACTCTCTTTGCATATACGAATGTCACGTTGAAAGCAGATAACAGCATTTGCTTCGGTAAAACGCAGCTATTCAGACTTTCTCTACATGCTAGTTTTCTTATGAGCATTCGAGGTTTCAACCTAGTGTTCTGCATCTACAATGGAG